TCAATGATCTCTCTTGTCTCTCTCGTGCTATTTTGTAAAAACACCCAGTGCAGAAAATGAAAATGGCAGTAACAGGGTTTTAGAGCTCATGTCTTAGATCTTGACATACTTCTGTTTGGGTAAGGTATAGTGTCCTTTTTAAAGGAATGTGAACTCATTCTGAAATTTCTGATAAAAATGTCCTTAAAAATAAGTAATTATATTGGAGTTTTCCTGCTCCTGTATTAATATGTCTCTTCGTAAAGTGAGAAGTAGACTGTTTTTAGAAACATGGAACACTGCAGTTGTCAGTGTGCTCAAGTGCGCAGAATAACAGTTTAAAAACCTTTCAGTCTCCATAATCTCCAAATTGCACTTAGCTGTAGTAATTGTATCGTTTTGGGTGGAAGTTATTTGCAAGTTAACTGGCTGTGTAGTTTTTGTTGTTACTAACTTGACTTAATAGAATGATTCTGATATTTAGAAATGTATCTGAAGGTACAGTTTTTATTACTAAAGAAAGGAGCAACTTAAATAGTCTCAGGAATGAATAGAAGAATACAATCATTGGTTCAGTTCTCTGCTATGTATAATGCATGATCAACTGTTATGTAAATTTGCTGCTCTGAGTGTCCATAGCCATTACAGCAATTCTGACTGCTCAACTGTTCTTGATATTACAGTGGACTAAAGAGGATGGACATAGAACTGCCACCTCTGCTGTCCCTAACCTGTTTGTTCCATTGAACACCAATCCAAAGGAGGTCCAAGAAATGAGGAATAAGGTTTGTAATAGCAGTAAAATAACTATTTTTTTTGTTATCACTACAATGAAGTTATGTACTTGTAATGAACTAATGTACTTCGCTATAGTGAAATTTTTGGTGTTCAGTAACACAGCTCTGGTGTTTTCCTGCCTCTTTATAACTAGATACTGAAACAATTCCTAAGTGTTCTGAACTCATTGTGGAAAAAGATGGTGTTACTGTCCACTATATGAAGATTTTAATTGTCTTATCTTTTGCTACTATCAGACCAGTTGCTGGATACCTCTGAAACGGCCAGCACTGAGTTCATGGTAGTAATTCTGTTCCCCAAGATCATGGTTCTACATGTTTTCCTGGTTTGGTTTCACAGGTTGAAATTGTGGCCTAGACAATTTTACGGATGTCTCTCCATATTATATTTTATTATAATATACCATGATTGATGCAGAAATGTCTTGGGCGGTTGGAACTGCATGTTAATCTTTTTGAAATGACCTAGCAGTTAATTTTCCAGTCTTTGAATTTCAGGTCTTGTTGTCACTAATCTACCAACATGGAATGCATTGGGGTTTTTCACTTTATTTCTTTTAAAATGTAAAATATGCATTGCTGTCTTGTAAATACTTAACTGGATTGTTTTGTTACTTGTAACTGATGGCAATATGGAACACGGGAGTTCACATTATGTCACAGGAAAGTCTGTGTGCAGGGGTACTAGCAGGAATACTGATTTCTTCTAAAATAATTTGTATAAGGTTGATGGAGCTCTTGCTTTTCCTGACTCAACAGGAAATAATAATAATCACTTGAAATGAGAAGTCTGGTGAAATTGCCAGGCAGTTTCTTGGTGTTTGAAACACAAATATTGTTTTTTATGAAAAACTTGAATGAAGCAACTAAGAGGAGAGAAGTAAAAATTCAAACTTTTTACTTTCCTGATGATGAGACATGTAGTAAACTAGAAGCAAGTACAGATGATGCAAGATCTTCATACTTTCAGAAATACCAAGTATTAATAATGACTTGTTTGTATACTTGTATGCATGCATTTTTATATAAATTGAATGACCTTTTTAGCTGTAAAGTAGAGGTCTTCCTGGCTGCATGCTTTTCTTCATTTATCTTGGAACAAGAACCAGAATACTTTAAAAATAAATTTTCGTTCGGTTGTTGTGGATGCTTTAGCAGTGTACGATACCTAATTTAAACAGATAATACCTAGACTTAAAGATGCAGTTTCTGTTCCCATCTTCTGTATGGAAAGAACTGGAAGGTATTTAGGATGCAACAAAAGGGATGTGTTTGAGTACCCAGGAGTGTCAGTTTATGCATAGAAAAATATTTCTATGCCCTTTTGAGAATATGGTCCTGACTAGCTGCAAAAATTTTATGCTGTGCAGTGTTTTACAGTAAGTTTTGTAGGATGATGTTATTGTGGTGCAGTATCAGTGACTAGTGCCTAGTGACAGAAACCTGTAAAGGACTTGTATAAATATGACCCCTCTGCTTTGCTTCTCCCCTCACTTTTCTTCACAAAGTAGAGTTGTGTGTTACCTGATCCGTAGAGTTTTACCATGAGCCAGTACTAAAAAGCTAAAAAAGTCAAGGACAGTACCTGCTGTGGTACTGAAAAACTGAATTCTGAGAAATGTGAGGAAACAACTAGGAACCTGAGCATGTATCTTCAAGTGGTGTTTGTAAGCACAGCTTTATTTGATGGGTAGGGCCATAGCAATCAACACTGGTTGCAGCCTGTTCACAGGTTCACCCACCCCTTCTTCAAATACAAAATGTGGTTATACTTTTCTCTGTCGTTCATATGACTGTATTCTGCTGCTTTCCTTTACAGATCCGAGAGCAAAATTTACAAGATATTAAAACCGCGGGCCCTCAATCACAGGTTCTTTCTGGGGTAGTTGTGGACAGGAGTCTTGTACAGGTGAGAGTATAAAATGCCTAAAACTATTAGCTTAAAGTTAATCTATGATATCCTCTGCTTTCACCTAATATATCACTATAAAATTATTCTTTAATTGGCAGAGAATAACTGTTTACAAGGTAAGTCTTAGAGGTAACACCATTGTCTTTGCGAGAGTGCTCAGGGTCAGAAATTTAAGAGGCTTCAGCCATGTAGCCCAAGCATGTCTGTGGAGGATGTTTTTTTTTTTTTTTTTTTTTTTTTTGCTGAGTGTAATGCATGAAATTCAGAAGGCTTCTTTATGTGGGTTAGATTCTTGTTCAAAAGTAGTTGGGCTTTGTGACAACTCTCTGTTTGTTTGTTTTCCAAGTTTATGTATCTTGAAGTGTTAATACTGGGCACAGCAGGCTGACTATGGGGCAGTAGTGTTGCGTATTAAATATGTTTTATCACGCTTCATAATATTTTGTTTTTTAGCGGTTTGAAAAAAACAACTATTATACATCAATAAAACTTAAAAGCAGTATATCTGGATATACAAAAGACTTCCTATATTAATCATAGCTCAAAGTAAAGTAAGAATTGGAGCTATACAGTTGTACTGTACAGCTCAATGACTTTAAAGTCCTATGTATCTGAGTGCTTTAACTGCCCTAGATAAGTATTTTCTGATATACTTTTAAAAGTTTGGCAAGTCTTATCATGACCATAGCATTATTCATGTTGGGTGTCATATTGTGTGCATGTCAATTCATTGTCATTTGCAATTTTATCTACCAGTTACTGTTTCTTTGCATGTTTTTAGCAAGCATCATAGTGCTTTTGGTTGATGTTTTAAAGCCTGGGCTCGGTTTGCTCTTTTTACTCAATTTACTGTTGCAGGATGCTCCCCTCTCAGACTGTACGGAATCTATTGAAGGGCTCGATCTCACAGAGCAGGCCTTTAGTCCCGCTAAATCTCTGTCTGTTAGAAAGGTACTGCCCTGTCATACTGCTCAAAATACTTTTGTTCACCCTTCATTTTACCTCTTCCTTACCCTGACCTTTTCCCTCTGTTAGTGAATGATTTGGCTAGAAAATTAAAAAAAAAAAAAAGGTTCTCCAAATGATGTATATGCATCTATGCAAGCAGTTACTTTACCCTGTTAAAGTATCTCTTAAGGATTTTGATCTTTTTTCTTTGTAGAAGCTGGTGAGGAAACGCTTCTGATGCTAAGGTGCCAGTTAGGTTCTGCATATAGTGGGTTTCTTTGTGCATGCTGTTAGTGTTGAATTACTCTAATGTGAGATCCATTTTGAGTTAGCTTTAACTCAGACTGGTTACATCAGTGTCATTCCGAAGATATCCACATGTTCAGAGTGTGTCATGCTGACAAACACTGTCCAACTTTTGATCCTACATTGCTAGATGTCTTGTTTCCTTAAAACTTCCTGCAGTTTTCTAGAAGAGTTGCTGAGTAATGCCCCACACTTCCAAAATTGATTGGCTTTCAAACATGTAATCATACTTGTGGCTTATGTAATATACTTCAAATACAGAATAAGTTCAAGGGATGTGTGCGTGGTTGGGGCGGGCAGTCCTTTGAGGCTGAGTAAACAGGAACAGGTTGCACATCAGAAACAGTCTGTCCTTAGCTGCCTTTCTCTCCCAGGTTTTGAAGGAATTTCTTAGAGGTGAACTACCATGGAAGCACAGTGTGAAAATAAGCATCAGTGTCTGTTCCGCTCCAGTATTTTATCTAAAAGATTCTTCAACCTTGGTTTAGGTCATGCCTAACATCTCGTTATCAGAATAGCTTTCCCATCAAAAACCAGAATATTTTGAATTACATCATTGTTGCAAATCTCATGGCTTTATAATACTTTCTAGTGTGATGAGCCAGTTGGTATTATTATATCATACCAAGAATTTGGTAATTATGTTTTTCAGATTACAGTTCGTTTTATCCATATTCTGAAAGGAAAAACAATAGAACACTATTTCCAGATTTAAAATTAAAAATAAAACAAAGCCAAATTCTTCCAGGCAGTGCATTCTTTTTATTCTCAGCTTAATAATAGCTTCAAAGTGAAAAATTATTTTTGTGCTAGTCATCCACTGGTTATCACAACACAGGCAGTTTCTTTCATCAGTGATGTGCAAGATATCTTTCAAGTATTATTTTTTAATAACGGCATCCTCTGTCTATAAAACCAGTCAGATAGTTTACATGCATTTTTGTAGGTGGCAAGGAGCCAACAGAAAGTCTGTCGGTTATATGATTTTGCCTGGTAGCATAATGTTAGGGCTTAGATGTCCAAATGATACCTTTCATTTTTGTGGTGTCATGAAAGTG